AACACCGACTTGCTCCAAAAATGACAGCAAACCTAGTTAAATTTTAAATAAACAAATATTATGAATTCTTGGTTGGAAACCTAAGTGTCTGAACAAGCCCTTCCAAAGCTAAAGTACATTTGTTTAAAACGTGGTTTACTGCAAAGCAAGGCAATTTCTGTGGACGAGGTTTCATTAGCTGAGATTTATAAAACTCCATCTGCTTCCCCACTGCCCTTTTCTCATCCACCTGGGGCAGGAGCAACCACCAACACTTTCTTTCTTCCACCACATACCTGTCCTGGCAGAAAATTCATTCCAATTTCTTCTTCAGCAACTCAGACAGCTTTATCTTTATCAGGGAGCTGCACTCCCCAGGACAGGCAGAAATGCCTTCTCTGTCCAGCCACGTTTACTTCTATGGCAAGGCAATAAATATTTTACAATGGATATTCCTGCCACGGAAGCACACAATTAGTGTGTTTGGGAAGCATCCCAGGCAACAACACCCAGCCTCCTGCATATCAGGACTGTGTTCCCTACATGCATCCAGAACATTTCAGAACCTTTGTGGTGTACAGATGTTGTTGTCAGTTTTACAAGCACCCCAGCAACCTGTGCATACCACAATGTCTCTCTAAACTGTACACTGTACATATATTAATTACAATTACAAATATCAAATGGATGTACCTGCTGTTCTCTGTACATGCAAACACAGACATAGCTATTATGCACATAAATAAATATATTTTCATGGCATAAGCAGAAAAGTATGTCCTGAACACACATGTATGCACACATCTCCATAAGCACAGCCACATCCACATTTACGTGCACTTAAATAAGTAGGTGAATAGGTGAATATGAACACTAATAGCCATTTATGGCAAACAACAATGAAAGCTGTCCCTGGAGCCCGCCTAGGGTAGGGCAGCCAAAATGATTGAGTATGTTCAGGGCACTGCTGCAGCAATGGCACTCACTTGGGCCTCCTTTTAGAAATGATTAATATTTAACCGACTTGGTGAACCTGGCTTTGGTTTTAGTTATGATTAGATAACAGGGTGCACAGAGCTGTCCCACTGAGGACGTGGTGGGATGTCTGAGCAGCTGCCAGTCGTGCTTTGTGAGAAGACAGACAGAAAGTGAGAAGGGGAGAGATAGGAGACAGTGAAAAACAAACAAAAAAAAAAAAAAACCAAAAGTGCTCAGCTCCGTTTGTGTTTGTTTGGAAAGAAAAGGGGGAAAAGCAGCCCGAGAGGCCGGTGTAATAAGATGCTGTAGCTTTCATGAAAGAGGTGAAATAATTTTAAACACAGACACACAATGAGTTTATTTATTTAGAAAGTTGTTAAATAGAGTCTGGGAATTCAAATATTCAATGTTGACATTGTACAGAGCTGGCGGGGAGCCAGCCCCAGCTCTCCAGAGGGACCCAATGGCCACGGCGCCCAGGCCCTCGCCCCTCCCAGCCCACTAACTAGGTAAAAGCCATTAGTTATACCCACAAGCAATATCTGAATCCCAGTCAAATAATGTTGCCTCAGCCAGCCAACTTCAAAGGCGTGTAAGTGTGTTTGGCTTTTTAGTGCTGGAACTGCAGCAATATGTCACACTTTTGAAAGAGTTTTGTAAACAGTTCCTTCCCCTTTGTAGAAACATTTCTTAAGTTTCTTGTACCCCATGTAAACAGCGTTAATTAACAAGGGTTACATTTTTCATTTACAAGCGGGGCTGTATTAATAACGGGCTCGCCTTTCGGACCGTCCTTTTCCTTTGTGTCCTTTCCCTGCCCAGCCCCGCGGCCGGCCCGGGGTGGCCAGGGAGCAGCCAGGAGGAACCGCAGGGCTCAGCCCCGCCGGCAAAGCTGGTCCCAAATTCAGGGGTGGCTAATGGACCTGAGTAAGAGAGAAAGATAGAGAGTGGGGGAGAGGGGAAAAATGAGAAGGAGGGGAAAAAATAGAGGAGGAGAAGGAGAAGGAGAAGGAGAAGGAGAAGGAGAAGGAGAAGGAGAAGGGGAAAAGAAAAGGAAAAGAAAAGGAAAGGGAAAAAGAAAAGAAAAGAAAAGAAAAGGGAAAAAGAAAAGAAAAGAAAAGAAAAGAAAAGAAAAGAAAAGAAAAGAAAAGAAAAGAAAAGAAAAGAAAAGAAAAGAAAAGAAAAGAAAAGAAAAGAATGAGAGAAAGAAAGTAAGAGAGAGCAGAGGAGGAGAGAAGGAATGGAGGAAGGGCAGAAAGAGAGAGCGAAAAGCCACACGCGCGCTCTCCGCCCTGAAAAGGGTTAATGAAGCGCCTGGTGAAAATATGCCCGGCATATAATGGGATTGTCTGGCCCGTCCCCGCAGCCCCCGTGCCCGCGCAGGAGCCGCCCGGGGACAGCGCCGCGCCGGGGATGCCGCCGGGCCGGGCCGGGCGGTGCCGAACCGAGCCGAGCCCGGTGCCGGGGCGGTGCCGGCCCGCGGCAGCAGCGGCGGCGGGGCCGGGCCGGGTGGGGAGGGGTGCGAGGGACCGAGGGACCGAGGGACCGAGGGACAGAGGCACAGAGGGACCAAAGGACAGAGGGACCAAAGGACAGAGGGACCGAGGGACAGAGGGACCGCCGCCGCCCGCGCCGGGCCCGGGGCACGGGCAGCCGGTGCCCGCGGCGGTGCAGGAGCCCGGAGGCGGAGGCGATGGCAAAGCGATGGCAAATAAACAGCCTCGCCGAGAGGGCCGGCAGCCGGGACACGGCAAACATCTCCCCGCTCGAAAACAAATTCCCGGACAGTCTTAAACAGGCAAATAAACTTGCCGGCTCTGTTTTTCAATCAAGGCTTTTAAGTACTAGACTGAGGCAAATTACAGGCGCAGGAAAACCTGCTGAAACTTAGGAAAGTGCTATTTTACTATCTCAGATGGTTAGAGGGATCTGGATCTACCTTGACTGCACTAAATTGCCTGTAAAAAAGTGGTGATAAAGTGTAAAAGTAACAAGTGCCTCCTTATTCACGTGTGTTCCCCTAATCTGATCACCTTCTGTCTCTTTATGAGGCTACTGGGTGGCTGGGGCTGCCCCGGGCCGGCTGCGGGGCTGCGGCGGCCCGCGCTGGGGCGGGGGTTATTCGGGGATACGGTTTCACCGGGCGGGCACGAACCCACCCGAGTGGAAAAGCAGCTTTCCCGGGGCCCGGGGCCCGTCCCGGAGCCCCGCGGAGCGCGGATGCCCGCGCAGGTGCAGCGCGGCTGCGGGCGGCCGGGCCCGCGCCCCCCGGGCTGCTCCCCGCTCCTCACCGCCGAGAGCGTGGCGGGCAGACCGACCTCAGCGTGTGTTTTCCCTTATTTTTACAGCTGGACATTTTAAAAAATTCACTGGCTATTCCCCGCGTGGCTCTTTTTGTTTCTTCTGAATTATTTTTCTATTTTTTTTTTAAGAGGGGGGGCAAAGCTTCAAGATTATTTTTTAGCGATTTTACGCTGAGGTCAAGAAAATACCCTTCAGGTATTCTCCCTTAATTAAGAGGGAAAAGCTTGCCTGGGTATTGGCGACAGTCACGCAATCGGGGCGATTTTTTTGTTTCACGCATAAAGCAATAAAAGTGAAATAATACAAGAAATGCGCTTTATCCCGATCTGTATCTTTTTCCACGTAAAAGGGTGAAGGCTGCAAAGTATTTTCCTATTCCTAACTCAGACAGAAGGAAGCGAAAAGCTAAAACCTTTTTCTCTCGAACGACTAAATTAGAGAGGTCGCCTCCAGCCCTCCTTCCACTTGCCATGAAACTGAGACGCTCTTCGGGGGGGAAAGAAGCAGCTTTTCGGAACACAAAAAAAGAAATAAATCCCGGCTTTTTAAATATGATTTCCTTTATGAGTCGATTGTAACCGAAGGATTATTTAATGCAACACATCTGTCTAGGAGGGGAAAGTGCTGCTGCTGCTGCTGCTGCAAGACGCGCAAAGTTTGCAGTCGATCGGATCTCGCCCGCGGAGCTGGAGCCGGAGCAGCAGCAGGAGCAGGAGCCCTGCATCGCTGAGCAGCGAGCAAAGCCAGGGAGAGGCGAGGAAACCTGACGGATTTTGTCGGGGATGGGAGATTTTTCCCCCCATAATTAGCTCCAAAGCACGGATAGTAACCTTGAGATTTAAAAGTATATTTGTTTTCAGATTGAGGGCGCTGGACTATCCGCTTTGAGATCACCTAATCAAACGCAGGTTGCTGCTGTTGTTCAGGTTCAGAGAAAAGCTGATGATGATCCAGAGACATCTTTCACTTCCCCTTTTCCACGCTTCTCTATTTTTTCCCCCTTCACAAATAAAGAGTAAATAAACATCTGCTTTATACGTCACGCAACTTATGCAACATTTCATCTGACTTTTTTTCCTCCTGCCCATTTTTTTTTCCACTCGGAAATGTAAGTTGCCATCGCCATGGGTATCAAATGAAACTTCCCCAGATGTGTCAGAGAAAATAAAGACATCAGTTGTTTTTAAAATAGGACGCGAGAGCTGGCGAAGTTTTGTTGTTGAACCCATTCAAAATTCATTTAAAAAAAAAAAAAAAAAAGAGAGAGAATTAATTTAAAAAAAAAAAAAAAGGAAAAAAGGAGCCCCCACACTGCAGCAGTTAAAAGCAGAGATCCCTATCATAAAGGAGAAACAGATGGGGTGAGCGTAAGACAAATAATTAAGTAAGTCGGGCTTTGCGTGTGGACGGCCGAGCCCTCGCCTCGCGGAACACAGACCTTCGGGCGGCCAAACTGTATAAAAAAGTGCTGGAAAAGCGCCTGAAATTACAACATTTACATCAACTTTTCGCGGGTGACTCCAGCGGGCTGGGAGGCGCTCCGAGCTGCCCGGCGGCCCCGCCGTCCCCCGCCGACCCACGCGGGGCCATCCCGGCCCCGCCGAGCGGCCCCGCCCGCCCCACGGGCGCCGATTTTGGGCACAAACCCTCGGGCGAGCGCGGCCGGGCCCGGGGGATGCCCGGTAGCTCCGCAGCGCTACCTGCGCCCGCGGCTCGCCGCCTCCCCCGCGGAGGGCCGGGAGGCTGGGAGGGGATGCTGCAGGTTGCCTGCGAGCTCCGCGCCGCACCAGACATGTCTATGCAACATGGCAGAGAGGGAGGGTGAAAAGCCAAGAGAAAGGGGTATTGCACCTACTTGCGGCCAGCTTCCTCGCCCTGCCCTTGGATCGCATGCTGCCAGTCCCGCGGCCGATGCTGGCGTGGGCTTGGGGTAGGGGGGGGCTTTTTTTTTTTTTCCTCCCGGAGCTTTTCCTCCTTTTTCGCTCCCCCTCTCCCTCTCTCCTCTCCCTCTCCCGCACACACACTCTCCCTTTCTCTCAATCCCGGCTCGCTATCTCTCCAGCATTGTCAGTTTGGACACCTTCGCACATGCGCACGGGCGGCTCCCCCCCGCTCTTCAACATTTCAGCGCCGCCAAAAAAAAGTTTGCAGCGATCCATCACCGCCGGTGGGGACCCTGACAGCCGGCACCGGGGCCGGGACGGGCCGGGACGAGGCGCGCAGCCGCCGCCGGGCTGCGCCTCCGCGGCCGCGGGGCAGCCGCTCCACCGCCTCCGCACCCGGGAGGGGTCACCGCGGGGGAGACCCGCGCTCCCGCGGGGCAAGGGCTGTGGGGAGAAGCGACACCCTTTTTTCTGCCTTTTTCCCCTTTTTTAAATGGGATATTAATACCGTTCTGGAGTCTTTGCAAGGTTTAAATAGTTTATTCTCAGCCGGCAGCGATTACCGTAGATCTTTCCGCATATATAGGCAGAGAGATATAATTTGATTACATGTTTTATTATGTATGCGTACCATGAAATCGTACACTTTCGCGGCGCGCACACTTTTTCGCCACCTTGAACTCGGCTCAGCCACCACCAGTTGGGCAGAAAAAAAGCGTTTTAAAAACAGTAACACCGACCGCTCTAATCTGTTTTAATTACAGGGTTTGCCAATCAAAGAGGGAGCGCGCAGAAATTGGGAACTCCTTTAGGGGATGGCTGTGTCCGAGGTATGAATCAATCCAAACTACGTATAGATTTTCCCCCGGTACAACCTCCTTGCATTAAACAGTTTTGTTCAATACCTTCCATGCGCTATTTATGTTCCCATTAATATCTGTTGCAAATCCTGCCAGACACCATAAAAGAAAATTACAATCTTTCAGACTCGGGGCTGCGCCAGTACATACACGCTGCTCAACTTTTTTTGTTTTAATAAAATGCTCAGCATCGCCCCTTCCCCCTTGCATCCCGCCTCCCACCCCCCGGCTGCCGCTGCTGCGGAGCGGGGCCGCCCGTGGAGCCCCCCCCGCCCCACGGGTGACAGCCCCGCGCGTGGGGCGGGGGCACCGCGGATCCCTCTGCTGCCCCGAACGCCCGGCAGACAGGCACAAGCTCTTGAACCCGCACTGCGGAGCCGTCTTCGATGCCAATCGTTCTTTTTAATTTGTAACTGGGAAATTTTTTTTTCTTTTTAATTTTTTTCCTTTTTTTTTTTAAGGACAAGCAGCTGCTGTGTGCCCACTCCACATCCCCGCTCAGCCGGGCAGGGGAGCACCTAACATCCCCAGAGCAGGAGGGCAGGGGACTCCCCCAAGCCCCTGCACCCATCGGGGTGCCCTGTCCGGGCTGTCCCGGGAGGAGCTGAGCCACTCTGTCCCGGCGGAGGCAGGGCCGGGACAGCCGGGGAGCGGCCACGGGCAGCGCGGGGGATGCGCGGGGCCGGGCCGGGTGCCGGGGCTGCTCTCGGGGTCCTGGCACTGCCCGAGCCCCGGCCTCGCTCGCAAACATCGCCTTTCCCTGCGGGGCCGCACCGAGCTGTCCCCAGATCACCCCTCACACCCGCCCCGACCCGCGGCGCCGGGTCACTCGGGAAAAACGCGAACCCCCGTGAACTTGCAAAGTCAAACCGCGCCCCCGGTTGAAGCGGAGACCCCGGCAAAGAGATGCGCGTCCTTCCCCGTGCCCGGGGAGCCGCTCGCAGCGGGCGGCCGAGCCCCCGCGGGGCCGGGGCGCAGATGCGGCATTCCCGGGCGGGCGGCCCTGACCCCGGCCGTGCCCGCCTGCCACCGCCACCTGCCCGCCGGCCCAGCGGCCCCGGAGCCCGGCAGGTGCCGCGCCGCCCGCCCGGGGCTCCGGCATCGCCCGCTCGGCCCCGCCAGGTTCGCCCCCTTCCCACAAAAGTGCCGGGCAGCCCCCCGGGAATTCCGTTTCGTTGGTGCGGGGGAGCTCCCCCTCGCCGGCAGCCTCTGCTGCCTCCCCGGGTGGGAAGAGACCGGCGGAGGGGATGCGGGGTCGATTTCAGCGGATCCACGGGCAGAAACAGAGATTAAAATTTGGGGAAATGTTTTTTCAGGACGGAGGGGTGGAATTAAATCTGTTTCTAATACGGGCTGGGAGACCAAAAGCACCCCCTCGTGCACAGGTTTCAGGGCATTCCCCGTAACAGGAAATTTTCTCTTCCTTACATTATAATTGAGCAAGCCCCGCAGTCTACTTGGAGAAAAGTTGGAATTCTTTATCGAGGTATTTGTTGTGCTATTGTCTTTGTGCAGTGAACTTTACATCGTGTTATTCAATCTCAATCTATATTCTCCTAGCTACCAGTAAGATTAATTTAATCATTGTAATGCAATTATTAATACTGTTTACCCAACGCTTGAGTTCAGGTTTGCTGGTAAGAAATTAAGCTTCTTGCTGGGTGACCGAAAAGCTATGCAGGGATTTCCAGCCCACGTCGAAATAAAACAGTCCTCTTTATTTAGTCTCAGAACTCCAGCTTTCAGCCACGGGCTCAATTAGCCAAAATGGAAACAATTTTCATTCATTGCAATAACTCACTGTTCTGCTGATCACTTTCAAAATATACACTTTATTATTATATGCTGACCTCGGTGCCGCGAAGTGGCAAGGCTAGAAAGAGGCAGAGGGATCTCTCCAGCCCCCTTGGGCTGTAATTATTAGAAATTAATTGGGTTCAGGACCCTGGGTAGCATGGGTAAATTAATAGCTTGTCTGGTTGTTTAAATCCGAATTCTCAGTCCACAGGAGAGCAGGGGAGGGAGGCTCTCCCTCCCCAAACCCGCCCCGGGAGAGCGCGGCAGGGCTGGGGCAGCGCGGAGCCGCCGGCTGATTTCCCTCCTTCTTTTCACCATCGCATTGTTTTCGGGGAGCTATTTAGGGGTTAAAAATCAAAAATAAAGATCCTGTATACTTGGAGCTGTCGTGCGGGAGTAAAAGTGAAAAGGGAGCCTTAGGCAAAAGGAAATTACTGCAAGCCCGCGTGACCTTTCCGAGAGGTAATCAATCAAGTGATCAACAGGGATATTTATCATTGCTAGATGGGGCTACTTTACAAATGCACAGGAGGGGGGGCTGGGGGATACACACACACACACAAAAGTTTGGATAAACCCGATAAGTCTGAAGACAAATACGGAGACTTTAATCACTGGGAAGATTGCACATTTTCTTTTCTGAGCTCTCAGAAGGAAAGGGAAGGAGAAAACCACTGCAAAGTTTCCCAGCAGAAAACGCCTCCTGTACTAGGTGGTCACATGGAAGCTGTCCACTTTGCTTTGCAGTCCTGGGAAAGGCTGGGAACGACAGATGTGATTTAAAAAAAAAAAAAAAAAGGGCTCCAAATACAAGGGAAAATAATAGCTAGAGATTGAGGATTTGATAACTGGGCTCGGTGTTTGTTTTTATGTAATGTGTTTTTATTTGCTGCCTTGAAACTCGGAGCTGTGGAGCTCAGCCCTGGCTGCCTCTAGTCCCCTAAAGGGTTAACGCCGAAAACAAAACAAAAAAAACCCACCCCATGCCCCCTACTATATGAAATCAGCGATCTGGTTCAATTAAACTTGCTCTCCCTAGCATAAAGCATCCACCACAATACAGGCAATGAAATCCAACAATAAAAGCCCATGCATTTTCTGCACAGTTTCCTTCTCCCTTGTAAAACATGCCGTCGTGTAAGCACCAGACATTTAATTTTGCTTCCTATAACTTACCGGATTCCTTCTCAAACCTACTCTGACCACTTTTTTTTCTCTTAAAAACCCACCCCATGCCCCCTACTATATGAAATCAGCGATCTGGTTCAATTAAACTTGCTCTCCCTAGCATAAAGCATCCACCACAATACAGGCAATGAAATCCAACAATAAAAGCCCATGCATTTTCTGCACAGTTTCCTTCTCCCTTGTAAAACATGCCGTCGTGTAAGCACCAGACATTTAATTTTGCTTCCTATAACTTACCGGATTCCTTCTCAAACCTACTCTGACCACTTTTTTTTCTCTTTCTTTCTTTTTTTTTTTTTTTTTTTTTTTTTTTTTTTTTTTTTTTTTTTTTTTTTTTTTTTTTCTGCTTTGCGCTGCGCTCCGCTCACACGCCGGCACAAAGCCTCGCTGTCTGCGCCCTGCGCCGCTGCCTCCAAACGACTTTAGGGGTGCGGGAGGGCCCGCGGAGCCCCCGCCGCCCCTCGGGAGCGCTGCTCCAGCCGCGCTTGCGGAGAGATCCGCGGGGAGCGGCTGCGCGCCCGCGGGGCCGGGGGCTGAGCGCGGAGCAGCCGCCGCCGCCGCGGGGGCTCGCCCGGCCCTTGCGCGTCCCT